AATTAGGCTTGTTGCAGTGTGTTGGCTGATGTATGATCACATTGTTTATATCCCTAAAATTGTGGTTTTATTCCCGATTTGATGTGAATCTGTGCAGGTGAATTTATGCAAAATCTGCACACTGCAATGCAGTTTGCTGGGAGTGAAATTTGAACAAAAACAAAAAAAAAACAAAAAAAAACCCAAAGGACCCGTGGACCCGGCCGGTTTCAACTGGGCCGGGTAAGCTCTGGTTCCTATATTATAATATGTAATCCCCGACCCGGCCCGTCCCATCTCCTTTGCACCCAGGTCTGGTGCGGTCCTTTCAAAATTGGGCCCGACCCGGCCCGTGCCCACCCCTAGTCACATGTGTGTCTCTTGTCTACTCGAAATGTAGCTTTTGCGAGACTTCTGGCTCAGATAATTAAGTTGCAAGCATAGTTCCCAGATTACCCCATTAAGTCAATCCGACTTGATAACACTGGTGAATTTACATCTCAAACTTTTAATGATTACTGCATGACATTAGGCATTGATGTTGAACATCCTGTTCCTCATGTCTATACTCAAAATGGTTTAGCAGAAGCATTGATTAAGCGGCTTCAGTTAATAGCTTGCACTATGCTCATGAAAACAAAATTGATAGTTTCTGCATGGGGACATGCCATCTTACATGCTGCATCATTGGTTCAATTAAGACTTATGGCCAACCACCAATACTCATCAGTACAACTCGTGTTTGGGCATCAGCCAAACATTTCACATTTATGAGTTTTTGGTTGTGCTGTTTATGTACCTATTGCACCACCACAACATACTAAAATTGGACCTCAGCGCAGACTGGGAATTTATGTGGGTTTTGATTCACCATCTATCATTAGATATTTGAAACCCTTGACAGGTGATATGTTTGCAGCTTGTTTTGCTGATTGTCACTTTGATGAGACAGTTTTCCCATCATTAGGGGGAGAAAAAACCGTTCCAAAAGGACGACAAGAGCTGACATGGGTTGTTCCCACCTTATCTCTTTTTGATCAACGTAGCACTCAATGTGAAATTGAAGTGAAAAGAATCGTTCATCTTCAAAGTATTGCCAATCAAATGCTAGATGCATTTAATGATGCTATGAAAGTGACAAAATCATATATACCAGCTACAAATGCACCTGCAAGAATTGATGTCCCTGTTGGACAAAATAAAGTGGCAGCGAATGATTCATCTGGTGCAAGCCTAAAGCATGGTAGACCCCCAGGTTCAAAAGATTCAGCCTCTTGAAAAAGAAAGACGAAGGCACAACTGAATCCAAATGAAATCATTCAAGAAGAAAAAATGAATGACGAATCCACAATTCAAGATTCTATACTTTCATAAAAAGAAAATGTGCTTGATGAGATACATATACTTGAAGAAACAAAGAAAATGTGCTTGATGAGACACATATACTTGAAGAAACAAAGGTACATGAAAGCAAAGAAATCTCCATAAATTATACTTGTACTAATGAACTATGGGATTGGAATGAAATAATCATTGACGACATGTTCGCATTCGCAGTAGCCACTGAAATCATATTAAGTGATGATATTAAGCTCCACTCAAAGGCAGGATTGGCTTAAGTGGAAAGATGCAATCCAGGCAGAATTAAATTCCTTGGAAAGGCCAAAAGTTTTTGGACCAATAGTCCAAACCCTGCCTGATGTAAACCCCGTGGGTTACAAATGAGTATTCATAAGAAAGAGAAATGAGAAAAAACGAGATTGCTTGATATAAAGCACGATTCGTTGCACAAGATTTTTCGTAAAAACCTAGAATTGATTATGAGGAGACATACTCTCCTGTAATGGATGCAATTACGTTTCGTTATTTTGTAAGTTTAGTGGTTTCAGAAAAACTTGACATGCAACTTATGGATGCCATCACCGCGTATCTATATGGAGAACTGACATATATATGAAAGTCTCAGAATGACTTAAGTTGCTTGAAATAACTAACAAACCACGAGGTATGCTCTTAATCAAATTAAGGAGATCATTGTATGGGCTGAAACAATCTGGACGAATGTGATATAATCGTCTCAGTGAGTATTTGATCAAATAAGGGTATACCAACAATGTCATTTGCCCATGTGTGTTCATTAAGAAATCCAACTCTGGATTTGTTATAGTGGCAGTATATGTCGATGATATGAACCTAGTTGGAACCCCCGAAGAACTCAATAAAACTGCTGAATATCTAGAAATCGAATTTGAAATGAAAGACCTTGGAAAAACAAAATATTGTCTCGGCTTGCAGATTAAGCATTGTGGTAGTGAAATTTTAGCCCACCAATCAACTTACATTGAAAAAAATCATGAAGTGATTTAGCTTGGACAAGGCTTATCCACTCAGCAAGCCAATGGTTGTTCGTTCTTTGAACATTAGGAAAGATCCATTTCGTCCAAAAGAAAATAATGAAACGGTGCTTGGTCCAGAGTACCATATCTGAGTGCAATACGTGCTTTATTGTATTTAGCACAATGTACTAGATCAGATATAACTTTTTTCAGTTAACTTGTTAGTAAGGCATAGCTCTACTCCAAAAATTTGTCATTGGAAGGGAGTCAAAGATGTATCGACCTTCATGGGACAACAGACATGGGTCTCTTCTACTCAAAGAAATCTACAAATGACCAAGTCCTTGTTAGATATGCAGATGATGGTTCTCTCTCTAATCCGCATAAAGCTCGCTCATAAACTGTATATGTGTTCAAGAATGGGAGATACATCAATCTCATGGTGCTCAACAAAGCAAACATTAGTTGCTACATCTTCAAATCGCTCAGAAATACTTGCTTTATATGAAGCTAGTCGTGAATGTTATTGGTAAAGATCAATGATCCATCATATCCGGAATTCATTTGGTCAACCTTTGAAGACAGACAATCCAACTGTCATCCATGAAGATAATGCAGCCTGTGTTGCCCAAATGAAGGAATGATTCATCAAGGGCGAAAAGACTAAACACATATCTCCAAAGTTTTTCAGTGAACATGAGCTTCAGAAGGCTAAAGTAATTGAAGTTAGACAAATTCGTTACAATGAAAATCTGACAAACTTGTTCACCAAATCTCTACCAAAATGCACGTTTCAGAAGTTAGTGCAGAGTATCGGATTACGTCGACTTACCAATCAGTTAAATTTGGAAAATGTGGAATTAGGAAGAGATACATATCAGGGGGAGCATTCATGATAAATGCATGTTGTACTCTTTTTCCTTCGATTAGCATTTTTTCCATTGGGTTTTTCCTATCAAAGCTTTAATGAGGCAACATAAGCATATTTAACACTATATCAACAATCCAAGTAAAGTTGTATTCTTTTTCCTTCGCTATGATTTTTTTCCACTGGGTTTTTTCCGAGCAAGGTTTTAACGAGGCAACTGATGTTAATATGTGGGCATCCAAGGGGGAATGTTGAAAATACTAGTGGGTTAATGAATGCCCATAGTACTATTGAAAACATTGGTAAATTTTTCAATGCCCACACAAAGTGATATTGACTTGGGATATGAAGGAGGATTGCATTTTCAAAAGATGTGTGCTGTAAATTTCAATGTATAGTTAATACGTTTGTTTGGAGTTGCTCTATAAATAGAGCACTCCATATGCTTTCATGAGAAACAAAAAAGAGAATAAGGAAGGATCAATAACATCATCCCTTGTTCAGTGTAATATTTTACACCTGCTTCTGTCACTAGTAAAGGTTATCTCTCTAACTTTTACCTATTTATAACAATCTTATCAACGATTACAATTTACAATTTGGTAATATATACATTTTATGTTATGAGAAAGTTTAGTAATAGAAGCATGACTTATTTTTAGTTACATCTTTTGAAATTTTATTTTGTTTTGTCTAACTTAAAAAATGAGCTATTTTACTCTCTGAAATTTAAAGTTCGCTCCATTTTGCCCTTTAGAACTCATTTTTTATCCCATTTTGGCCCCTAAAACTAGAAAGGCGTCTCTATAAAACTCAAGATTCGCTCCACATTGCCTTAGGTCTAGTAATTTCTTATGTGGGTTTGATTTGGGTGTGGCAGACTAATCAACTTTTTTTTAATTTTTTTCATCTCTTCAATTTCTTTTAAACTTAATATTTTCTAATTGTTGAATGTTAATGCATAATTGAGATTTATAATCAAATTTATTACACAAGTGACATAGTATTATTAGGTGCTAGGTCCCACATTTGTTTCCGAATGCAACCTATAAATTTTAGGGAGAAGAGATAGTCCATAAGTCAGAGTGGAACAAATTTTGAAGTTTAGGCAATAAAATGCTGACTTTTGAGTTACATGGACAAAGTGAGATCAAAATAGAATTTCGTATGCCGTAGCTAAAAATAAGCCCATAAACATCTTATGTTATACATAATTTAATAATAATAAACATCTTTTCTTATAAGACAATCTGATAATATAAGATTACAAGTGCATATATAGCTTGAGTTCAAAAGCAAAGATCAACGGTAAAAATCACTACACATAATCAATTTATCAATTAAATTAGCCACCAACAAACAAAAGAAAATACCCGAAATCATCAACACAAACAATAGTGGTGTTTTGGTTAATTTGGTCTTCATCTTTGTGCGTTGTGTATTGTGAGTCTCGTTTGCTAACAATGATTTTGATGTGGTTTCGCACTTTCGCGATGACTTTTGTGGCCTCGCTATTCAGCGATGACCGTTGTTTCTGCCAGTATCTCTCTGTTACGGCTATCGTTTTTTGTGACAGATATGTACTGGTAATTCTTGTGCGCTTGGCGATTGTATGGTTGTGCTTGTGGGTGTCTACTAGGAGTTTTCTGTTATTTGTATGTTTTGTGCAAATTTATTCCAGATCAATTTATTGGTCACTTAACTATGTACCTATTGACACTCTGTAATTGTTTGGTGTTGATTAATGAAAGACTATGCTATCGTTTCTTGTCAAAAAAAAAAAAAAAAACAGCATTGACAAAGTGATGAACAAGTACCTGCAAACTGAAGGGAGTTGTTTGGGATCATCAACTGCGGGCCTGGTACAAGACAGAGTGTCTCTCCAATTAGCTGCTCGTGCGTGGTACAGATCATAGTTGCTATTAAATCTGACGGTTTTTGCTCGATCACGGCTATACCACACTTTCTTAGCATCAAGATCCTGCTCATTAAACTTGATTACTCCATGGATCATATCTTCCAGCACACTCACTGGAACTCCATGATTAACCACTTGGAAGAATCCCCATGTTTTGGACGCGATCCGAACTTCATCCACAATCTGCTTGCGGAGGTCATCACTATCATCGATGCCGTGGAGATCGATGACAGGAATTTGCATGTTGGGTGGGTGACACGTGGCAAACTGGGTTTGCTCATTGGGTGGACGGATGAATATCTTGGGTACATTTACTGTGCCAGCATCAACGAGGCCTTTCACACCGGCTTTTGTATCATCGAAAGCTTTTATCTCTGTGGCTCGGTCGTATTCTCCACGCCCTACAAGTTTGATATCCATGAACTTTTGAATACTGGAAAGCTTGATAGTGTGATTTTCAAGGCCTCTGGCTTGCTTCAAGCTTCAACTACTGGGTAGATAAGTACCATTATTTGCTTTGTGGTTTTCATCGGGCCAGACAAGTCAACGACCGACCTTTCTGCTCACTCTTTTAATAATGAGGCATTATCCTATTTTCTGTAAACTTTATTTTTATGTTGTCATTTCTTTTTCTCGATAATCTGTATATTAAGAATAAGGTAAATTTGGTGAAACATTTATATGTGAAAATACCCCTCTCATTTTACAAATTTTAACAAAACAATTTAATTACCTAATGAAAAATTAGTAAAATAATAAAAGTAACAAAATAAAATAGCCATGGTCAATTCAATACCATTGGATAACATTGTAGGGGCCTGTATCCTTCGATTAGGCTGGATGAGTCTGAGAGGGTTGTCAAATGTGCCTTCTTAGGTACGAAGTTAGTAAATAGGTGCATTCACGCAAAAGTGTGTGGTTGCACTATTTGCAAAACAACTAGCTTCCTCACTAGTCATACTTAGAAATAAATTAATTGAATTGGTCACAAATATAAATATTCAAAACATAAATTCCATTCAATTAATCATTCGAAAAAATAATCCATAAAACTTAACTTCCAAAAATTAAAACAACAACAAACAAATTCTTCAAACATAAAGGAAATTGTTCAAAATTTAAACCAAAAAAAAAAAAACATAGAGGGTTAGGCCACATAGGGAATTTGGTCCCCATGGGTAAATTTCAGCCAATATGTGGGCCCATATCTAAGAATCTATTCTTCCATCGAAGCAAATGCCTCTTGTGTCAGAAACCTCCATCTTCGTACCCTCCAGTTCCACCACTTGAGTAAAGTTTGATTCAAACTTCTTACAACGAGAATGATACTCATCTACGACCTTAGGAGGAGCTCGGCAAATACAGGATCAATGGTCCTTCACACCACAATGGTAGCATATATCGCATCTATGGTGTCAGGTGCTTTGCCCTTATTCTTGATGGTTGAGGTCTTGGGAACGAGGTTTACACACTTTGGGCACATAAATTCACTAAGTTTTCAAAATTGATCTCTGTTTTACTTCTTGCTGAAAAGCATAATTAGGTGTTGATGAAGAATCATCGAGTTTGACCTACAAGCTTGACCGTTGTGCTTGAAGCATACACTAGCGAGAAATGACGCCCGAACAGCCGTTCTAGGCCTGGTAGGCATGGCCAAAAGCCGTCCCACCAATGTCAACAAGCTGAAATCTCATGCAAGAGAGGGGCATATCTGGGCTCTATGGCGTCACCAGCGGAGAGGGCAAATGGGGCAGCAACGGGAGTGGGCCACTACAGGATGACCGGTGGGCAAAGCCCAAAAGATTTTTTTTTTGTTTTTTACTTCTTCTTCATTTCGGGTTGAGGGTGCACCAAGCCCAATTGGGCTCAAGAGATCCAAAACATCCCAGCATTTTCTGGGTGTGGTCACTGGAGAAGAAGACTGGCGTCGATGCTTCAGGAAGTCGAGTTTTGGGACAGAGGCCTCAGTGCGAGTTCAGGGTTCAACAGACCTTGCATTTGTGACTAAGAGGGGTTCAAGGGCTAGTTTGGTATTGATGTGCTTTAAAAAAAAATGTTTCTGCTGTGCTTTAAGAATAAATAGCTGTAAAATAAAGCAGTTGAATATTTGGTAAACTTTTTTTTTTTTTTTTATAAAAGTGCTTTAAAAAAAACAGTGTCTAAACGTTTGGTAAACTTTTATATAAAACTGCTTTGATTATGTTAAATGACTAAAATTAGTATAATTTAATCTAATATAATTTTTAATTTGTAACCTTTTTATTTATAACTTTTTATTACGCTCTCATAGGGATGAAAACCTAGAGAGCCACTCATTATTTGTAACTCTTTATTATAAACTTTTTTTTTATTTATAACACTTTATTATAACTTTTTTATTTAGAATCCTTCTAGAAATTCTAGAGTCATCGATCAAACTCTATTTCCTTCCATCTAACATATCTTCCCCTTGTTTTCTTTGTCTAACCTCTCATCTTCCTCAGTGGATTTTTCTCTGTTGTTTTTCCGCCTAACCTCTCGTCTTTTTCACTGAGTTTGTGGGTTTTGAAGTGTTTTTCAAGGAGGGAGAGAGAGGAGCAAACCTACAATTTTATGAGGATCCAGATGTCTGAAGCTTCGAACTTGGGGGTAGAATCAGATTTACAGAAGAGCGCATGATGTGGTGCGATCTAGGTAAGTCCACGATGCAAATACCGAATCTAAATCCTAATCTTGTCTTGCCAGAAAAGATGGTGGTGTTTTTTCGGTGTGGGTTTGTTGGTGTGGGAGTGTACAGACGAGATATGGGAAGAATGACATCCTTCGAGACTTCCAGTTGGTAGATGTGTAAATTATTTAACTGTTTAAGGTCATTTTGGTGCTTGAAAGTTTCATTAAAGGGCTTAGCGCATTTGGGGAAATTAGGTTTGCACAGAAGCTGTGGAAACACCAAAAGCCGATTTTCCAAAGCTAGCTTTTGTTGCTTTGGCTTTTTAGCTTTTTTTTCACCCAAAACTGTGAAGAAAAAAAGAAGCTAATTTTAGATGTTTACCAAACACAAAAGTGCAGGGAGCTTTTTTTTATACCCGCTTTTTAAAAAAAAATTAAGCAGTACCAAACTGGTACCAAGCCTGGAGCAACAGAGCTCCAACTTGCTCGGCTTCAGCGGCTTACGTTGTTGGCCTTGAGTGCTGGTGGCTCGATGGCGTGACTTCAAGCCGCTACTCACTGGGTTTTTGAAAACAGTTATTCAATTAATCACAATACCAATTCATATCATTGCAGTATTATGGATATAATGCATAAACAATTATGTAGAATCTAAAATTTGTAAAATGTAAATATTACATATGCAGTATAATGATGGTTCATGCAATCAAGGCTGAAAAAATCTCAAGATTAAAACCCTTTTTTTGGAAGAACTCGGATTGCGTGATGATATTGATGAACTAGTTTGTAGCAAAAATTCTCCTTCAAATATCGTAGCATAGCGTATGAGCGTGCTGATGATGTGTTATGGCCTATATTTAACTGAGGGAGAAGAGGGGTGCGGCAGCAAGACAGACAATGGATAAATTGTAGGGATCCTTGTGTGTGTTCTTATTGCTACGCCAGTGCCTTTATTTATAGTGGATAATGAGTAGAAGATTAACTTGTCCTCAAAGTAAATACAATCCTATAAAAATTCACATTGAATATAAATTCATACATCTTCCAAATTCCTTGTTTTTACCTTCGCCATTTGAAATGTGTTAGTGCAGAGTTCCCGTCAAGCCCCTTTCCATAGTAGTACGAAATGAAGTCTTGCAGTGAGGTTTCCTTGTACACAGGTGGATGATCTTCTGACAACAAATTCTTAATAGGGCTGTACAGCCTTGTGGATGGGTAAAGATGAAGGGTGAAAAAGCACGCAATAGATACTCTTGGTCCTTCATAGTTGGCAAGCACTTGATGTTCTATGCTCTTAAATCTGTCATTGGATATAAGCTGCAAGAACACAATAAAATAATTTACAGGAATCCAACAAATTGTTTGATATATATAGTTGTACAACATGTTGCACGTGTCAAAAAGTGCATGGTGACTATTTTGAAGTGCTCATATAAGCCCATCTTACAATGAAGAACCCAATTAAAATGTTTGTAGCCTAGATAGAATAAACGAAGAGTAATTGCTATCAAATGCACTCTGCTTAAATCTGATTACCTTCTAAGCTTGCCCTACTTGCAGCTAAATTTTATGTTTATTTTTTTGACATTTTCTTCTATCAATGAACCTTATGTTCAACTCCAAAATAAAAATGTACTTAATGAAGTGCTTATTAGCAAATTTGCAGCCAACAAGTATTGCATCTAATGCAATGTTGCTGATATGCATGTTAGAGTTGTTAAGAAGATATGTAGGAACTAGAGGGGCTTGCCTGCAAGAGATCTCCGATGTTGACTACTAGAGCTCCCGACACTGGAGGAACATCGATCCACTAGTTTTGACCAAAACCTGGAGGCCACCAAAATCTGGATCTAAGTGTTTGATAGTGCCCATAGTTAGTTCAGGCTCAGGGCATGGCGGATAGTAGTGAGTGAGAATAAGATGTCCATTTGCACAATCCAAGCTTAGAAGGTGATCGGATTTAAGCCCAAGTGCCTCTGATAACAATTGAAATAAAGTAACACCTAATTTGTGAACGTGGTCTGAGTACTCCATAGTAATGTCTCTGCAAATTAGACACAGAAAACAAAATGCAACAACTGGGATGAGAATCATTTATCATATCCATTTCGCTAGACCAAAATTTCAACTATCCATAAATCAATGTCCTCTTACAGCAACGAAGGGCAGATGCTATTGTTCAACTAAACTTTAGTCTTAACCGCCAAGCAATCTATACAAAGAAAAAATGACTCATGTCCATTTGGTGTTTTTGATATGTCATGCATATTTGGCTTAGAGAAGACTTGGGATGCATTTGGTCTTTAGATTATAAATATCAAACTTTGTTTTTTGAGGGGACTAGTGTGGATGCAAATTTTTGCCTTCTTCTTCTTGTACGAAAATGCACCTGCAAAACAATTAACACCTAAGATCAAGGCCAAGAACCTCATGCACCTACGATGAATGAGGGTGGGGAGCTTTAGCCGAAAAATCTCCAATGCCAAAGTTAGAATTTGATATAGAAAGTGTTTAGAGAATTTTAGGAGAATAATGAACTTAGGTTTTTGAAGAAATGAGGGGCTGTATATAGGGATGTGGCTGGCCCTATTTGGAGAAATAGGGACCGGCCACTTATGGTGGAAATTGGCTCTAATTGCAAGATATTATGTCAAATAATATCTTGCAATCAATTAGGTAATTAATCAATTAATTCGGCAATTATTCTCAATTTGAAAAGAATAATTGGGAGTTACCTTGTGGGTGAAGATTTAATGAGGAGTAATGAGAGGGTTTTAAAAGAATACTATTTTGATCACTTTTGACCTCGATTGAGCCGTTATTGTCCGGTGCATGCGCGCAGAAGTCCCGATGTGCCTCAGGAGTAATTTTGTCTTTTTAATCCCAAAAGTCTACTTGTCGCCTCTATAATTTTCTTGGTTATTTTTGGCTCCACAACTAGAATATTAGTGTCTTCTTGCTGTACTTTTATGCGTAAGCGAAAGCGAATTCTAACC